TAAAAGGCTGCTGAACAGCTGTAATTTAGCTGTACAGCTATTTTGAAGCGACTTTGTGGCGCTGTACAGCGCTGCAAGTTTCGTACGGGGATGATGGTTCATGCAGTAAGGATAATATTCCGGGGGGTTGGACTCCAATATAAAAGGATCAGGATGCTCGTTGCTTGAACCTCATGGTGCAATGCACAACCCTAAGGGGAAAAAATTTTGAATTTCTATCCAGAACACCCTAATTCCCAACTGAATCTTTCTACCAGCACATGCTGCAAAGCTTAAAGCATACATTAAAAAAGATGTTTGAGTGTTGCTTACCTCTATCTCGAATGTAAACCAAAAGATGTGCAACATCTGACAGGTACTCAACCTGAAAGAAAAATGAAAAATTTGAGTTAATTCACCTTATGACAGCTGTTTTTTGTAGATGCTGTGAAAACATTCGAGAAAAACTTGTGAATCTTAGCTACTATGACAGCCAGTGTTCCATTGCAGCACACAGAATCCTGTCTAAAATTTAATAACAAACTCACTTCAAGCATCTCATTCAAAGTCCCGTTCAAAATCAGCACTGTTTACTAATAATAACTTCCGCATTTTGCTCTTAGGAATTTTGCCTAATAATGTCCTTTAAGCTATTCAAGCCATTTTCTGATTACTGTCTGGCTAAAATGAACCAAACCTGAAAGAAGATCTTTGTTATGTATCCAGCACTTCCTGGACTTCTTTTCCACATGCTAAATATCAGCTTCCAAAGCTTGAGCATGTGCAGAAAGCAAAGTTTTGAGATTAAAAGAGACAGCAGTCTCGACTTTTACTTTTCTCTCCTCCTCCTTTAGGTTTTCTTGCCCCGTTTTTTCCTTAGCTGGCCATTAAGTATGCTTCAATTTGAAAGGAAAAGTTGTTGGAAAAGCTTTTAGGATCATAAGAATGAAGGGGGGTAGTGGAACAAGATGTTTATTGGAATTTTCTGCTCAATTTTACATGGTTTTTAGAGTTTTTCACAGCGCCCTTACCTGAATTGTGCTCATTCCAGTATGATTTCAAATATATCTTTTCCATGTAAAAGTTAAGTGTCACAACTGCTGTTAACCGTTAAAAGTAATTGCATCACGGGTGGTAGAGGGGATGTGGATTGGCATTAGTGGTTATGAGCCGTTCAGGGGCAAATTAGTTAACTAAAGGTCAGAAGTGTAAACATACAGTGTAAAAGATGATTAGCCCAAAATTACAGAAATTAACCTTAGAGCTTGCACTCTTCAAAGCCCTTTCTGCAGATATATATATATATATTTTTTGTAGCACATTCTTAAAATAATTTAAAGAATGTGCTACAAAAAAATTTTTTAAAATTTTTAAATTTTTTTAAAAATTTTAAAAAACAATAATTATTATAATCATTCGAAGCAAATTTTTCTTTCTTTTCATTGGCCGAGAGCCCACCAAGTGACCTGCAAATAACTGCCTACAAATAATGGTCTGCTCATGAGCAATGCCGTCCAACAGTGTTTGGCTGCAAATAATATTCTGCTCATACATGAAGGAAACTGTGCTTTTCTCCTTCTTGCGATCGCTTCTGTGTGAAAATGGCAGATCGCTTTGCTTCGCTTCCCAAGGATAACTATTAAAAAGACAAACTCTGTGATCGAAATTATGATAAAACAATTATTGAACTTGGTCATCGCAAAATATCGTGATTTGTCAGTGTCTCGCAGATCAATTTATTATTTGCCTCAGCCAAATAATTGATCTGCTTGCAACAGACAAATCACAACATTTTGCTTGATAAATCTCTAGGTTTTTCCTCAAATCTCCAGGTTTTTGTTCTTTTGGGGTTGAGATAGCCTCCCACGCAGGCATTTTTAGGGGAGCTCGTTTTTCATCCCTCCCCACAAACGCCTGCTCAACTGAAAACAACATTCCTTTCCCATTGTTTTATTTACGTGGTAAGTGACCAATCAACAGTTGTGCAATTAAGTATTCTTATTTGACAGGCTAAACATGACTAAAACGTGACCCTAGAGTTACCGTTTTCCTTCTTTTCTTTCCTTCGCTAAGACTATGGAGTGCATGGAGTATTCTAAAATTTGACTAAATTTTATTTTTGCCGCTCTGAATCTAACATTTATTAGAGGTCTGAAAGCTTTCCCAGTGTTTCATGCAGATCAAGTAATTATCAGATTACCTTGCAGTCAAGGTCAACTTTCCAGAATTTGGAAAGTACAATGTGATTGGCTAAGCTTGGGAAAGGAATGTTGTCTTGGGTTGAGCAGGCGTTTGTGGAGAGGGATGAAAAACGAGCCCCTCTAATAACGCCTGCGTGGGAGGCTAGAGAGGACTGCAAGAGAGTCATACACTAACGCGTGCCTGACCACTGTCATTCGCTTTTAATACACGTACAAATATATCGCAACCTCACTTTTCTCTCTCTAATGAGAGCCATTTCACATTACAGATGTCAGAACGAAAATCAAAAAAGAACTAATGGGACTTCGGCGACGTTCGTGAAACGATCAGAATCAAAGTGTATTCAAGACAATATCACAAGGCAGGGAAATATTGCAAGTAATATAATGTTAAATAATTAAAAAATGTACACAAACCTTTGTTTTCGCCTTGAGATACATCTGATTCTCCGATTCACTGGGGTTTTTCATCAACACGTTTGGATTGCCAGACCTTTTTACCGCTTCCTCTCTGAAACGGAAATACGAGGCTCAGCACGTTAAAGAAAAAAACGCATTTTTAAAAAACAGCTAAATAACGGTTTGTTGACAAAGCCAGAGACGATAAAAGAAACTCTCAGCTTTAAGAGGCAATTTGTGTCCTGCTTATGACCAAAACATACATTTGAGAGAGAACTTTTTGACGCAATGCCATGGAGCGCCAATCGTCAGCCGAACTCGACGCCATCTTATCTCCTGTATGATCTTGATATGATGAATGATGTGCAAAATGTGCAAAATGGTTTCCAGACCATTCCAGACGTCTATGTCAAAGGGTTTGAACCAATCAAAATGTACTTTGAGGTTGAGCGCGGTTTCCGGTTAGCTTGGCATAAAAACCCCCTGACCTTAGCCTGCGAAGCGCAGACGCATTTCCGGGAGAGAAGCGACGACCGGAAATGCATCTGCGCTTCGCAGGCTACCCTGACCTGAGATCAGGCCCAATAGTTTAGTAACCTGAGATCACGCTCAATTTTAGTAACCTGAGATCAGGCTCAATTTTCGTTTCGCTTAGTAATAACATTCCGGCGGGCAAGGCGAAACGAAAACAGAAGAATCAGGCTCTCTTTTCGTTTCACATTGGCCGCCGGAATGTTATTACAAAGCGAAACGAAAATTGAGCCTGATCTCAGGTTACTTAAAATTATACTCAGATACGTTTTCTTTTTTCAAACATTTCCCTTTTAATAACAATTTGATAAATGCTTGGTAAACTGAAGTAACAGAGCCAAAATTCCAGAGTCTCCCCATAAATTGCACTGCGAGGTGTGCGGATCAAAAATAATCCAATATGGAAAAATAACAGTACACAAGGAATCAGTGAAGATAACAGCTGTCAGAGAAAACGTAAGTTTAATGGCGATGATATATATACAAAACAAATGTTGTCTGAATGTCAATAATAGATAATCAAGTTCATGTTTAAATTAATAATAAAGGAGCCCATCAACATCAATAAACAATGTAAATTAACAAATTTGTTTGCTAGATTCAGGGGCACCCAACGAGAATATAGTTCAAAACCACTTAAACATAGCATTGATAAACGTATTTTAGTATTTAAACGGTAGATATAGGCATATTTTTATCCCCTAAAAATTTTTCATCTGTTCGGATTTCCTAGGGAGTCTAGTGATCCGAAAATTATAGGGATCAAAACGTACCTTTTCGAAAATTTCAGCCAGAAAAAAGGCTCCCGAAAATTCTAGGTGACCTTTTAAGGGTAAAAATACGTTAAAAATGGTCAATATACCATTTTTTAGATGTTCGAAAATCCTAGGAGAGGCAGGCAAGCAAGAAATTTTACAACAAATGTTCCGAAAATTCTAGATCTCAAATCGTCTTCAGAACAGATATTTTCCGAAAATTGTCGTTGGGTACCCCTGTAGATTGCGCCAAATTGCGCGATTGTGGCAAGCTTTATTATTGTGTGACAATGTTTGCGTCAATTGATTTGACTCAAGTTGGAAAATTTTTAGTCGACCAAAGGGGAGAAATTGCTCCTTCCAGGGGGGATTTTTGACGAAAAATGGAAGTGCAAAATCCAGAAGAACTTATGAAAGTGTTACACAAATGTACTTGATAATCCTTCTGCTAAAAGCCAGTTGAATTCATTTGCTGAGCAACCAATTATTTCATGTCAGAATTAGAGAATTAAATAGAAGATCAAACCATATTCCCCTTGGAGATCACTCTTTAGACTAGTGAAATCCAATTAACTCCTTAAGCCTGACAATATCAATAAACAAATTCTGTGAGACTGATTATGATATCTCATACACCTCATTATAGAGAATTTAATAGAAGATCAAAACATATTCCCCTTTGGAAGTGACTATTGCTCTGAAAGTTCTCAGAACCTTCTCTCTTGATGACATATTGATATTGCCAGGAGGAACTGATTGAAGTTCAGGGTCACTATTAGGAATTGTAAGGTTCAATACCTACTTGTACATTATAAATTATAACCATTTCACTCCCAGAATGGCCAATTGTCAAAAGTATGTGACAAAATTTCTAAATTTCATTCTGTAAAGTGCTCAAAAAAACAGATAGCGCCTAGAGTAATACCAAAGAGGTGTCATTTGAATGGTCATACCACAGAATTTCATCAGCAGATTTTAAATCTAGTACAAGATTTATTATTCATTGTGGGAATGAAGTGTCGATCTACTGGTTTGTGTCAGTGACCTATACTTGGAACACTACACTTTGTATTTTGAATTTCAATATTTTGCCTTCAGCCTAAAATGTTAGCTGGACTTTTGGGCTGCTATTCCAGGAACCAGAGTGACGCGAGAATTCAAATCCCAATGTAATCAAAGAAAGACTATCGTCAACTCGTGGGTACGTTGTTTAGAAAATATCAATTAGTTATCACCTCTGGTTTTGCCACAGTGAATTTTAGGAAATGATAGAAATTCATATTGTAAATATACTATCCTTGTTCTGGAAACACAATACTTTTCTTGCTGTTTATTGCACTTTAGTAACAGTTATTTAAGTATATATTTAAAAACAAAACAGGATTTGATCCCAGTTCCTTCGAATAGACCCGACCTCACATAGCCACTACGCCATTGAGGATGGTCACATGCTTTGGCGAAAAGTCTCAAATTTAATGCCTTTTCCATGGAACTTCCGCCGGCAAACGACCGGGGCAAACGATCGAGCCATAAAAACGACTCGAAGCAATGGGATGAAATTAAGGCTAATTGAAACCAGGCTACTGACAAGTAAACGCATTTCATGGCAATGAAAGAACATATGCGATACAAAGCCGACACAACTCCTCCGCGAAGTAGGACGCAAAGCATTAGCTTATGTTTTCTTATCTCGATTTCCGCTGTTATTTTAAAAAGGTAATGCTCAAACTCACATCCATTTCCCCCCGTGATCTCGGGGAGTCCTTAAGAAGAAGAAGAAGTGCCTTTATTTACCATACATTTCACCAGTCCGTATTTTATAGTCCGTATTTTATACCCAGTCCGCAGTCCGTAGTCCGCAGTCCGTGTTTTATACTGACCGCCATAAATTCATTCATACACATAACCTACTACAGTACTACAAGGTAGGAGATCAAGCCAGCGTCGAAGTTGAAGGAGTCGAAGAGCAAATGCTCATCTTCTTGTCAAGTTTAACGCCTGGACGGGTCAAAGGCTTTTGAATCGTACTAATTTGAAAGATTCCTGCCTGTCTTAAATTTGGTAAGACCTCTATCCTAACCGTGCTGTAGCGCACAATGCACGCTCGCAGCGAGGAATTTGATGCTACCGAACTTCGGCGAGCGCGTCCTTCTTTGGAAACGATAGATCTTCGCGCTCTCGAGTTCGGACCCGATTAATTACGAAGTGCGTCTACTACGAGTGAGTGAGTGACTCATTTGCATATCTCAGTCCCTGCAATAACTCGTGGTACGCTCGCGCGTACCCACGAGTTAAAAGTGACATGATGCTCATAAAATTAAAAAATTAGAGTGAAATCCCTAAAACATTTGTCAGCGGTTGAACCACAGGACCACCATCCTCGGAGTGCCTGGTGAGCCTGGTAAGTTTTGTTACGGGAGTATAGTCTGACACCCATACAAGGTCATTCCAAAACGTTTTCGCTCAAATTTTCAGCAATATCTTGACGAAATTCAACACGCCCCCTCATGTTTTTGGTTCCATATAGAAAGAAGCATGTAACCCTATGCTTCTGATGCTTCTGATATGGGCGAATCCTTGTTTACATTTTTTGCCTCATTACCATATGCCTATCATTATCTCGAAGCAAGAGAGAATGTCTCTCTTGCTCGAAATATAATCTCTGAATATTGAAAGAGCATAACAATTTCAGTTATCTCTGAAAATTTAGTTTCGGAGAAATTTACCTTGAAAAACCCAAAAATTTACAAAAATTCGCCCAAATTAAAAGAATCCAGGTTTCTGGAATGCTGGAAAAATCCAGAATCCAGGAAAATTTGGTTTGTGGAATCCGGAAAATAGCTCAAGAATTCCGGAATCCCAGTCACGATTGGACTCCAGAATCCAAGTTCCACTCACAAAGACTTGAATCTAGTACCTGGAATCCGGAATCCACAACTGTCTTGGATCCCATTGCATGAGCTCATTAACGTTTTTTGCCACCCAGCAATTTCGCAGTTTTTGATTTGCTCCTATTTACTTTGTTATTGATTGCAAAGAGCTGAAAATTGCACAAGCTGTTCAAATTAACCAGCTCTTTCAATTTTTGAACCTAATTTGAATAAACGGTTAAGTCTTCTATGCGTCAACTCGTATGCGAATGTCAGGAGCCGATAAGTAATCGGCTCCTACGAATGTGCAGAAATGTATGACGACACTATGAATCCGCCTACTGGAAAGTACTGCTCACTGGCAGTAATGATGTCGCGCTGAACTCTGGGTGTAAGAATAACCTTCGCTTCGGGAAGAAGGCAATACGTTACTTGAGTATCCACTCTCCTGGAACAGTGTAAAATTCCCGCCCAAAGTCCGCCGTTATTGACAGTCAAATACCACAGACCTACCAGGGTATCTATAAATTCAATTTTGGAAGTAAGGACCAACGTTACAAAATTAAAGAACCAGCTCCTAATAAAGGATCTAATCAGCTCTAAATTAAAATATCGAGCGACAGAAGCAAGGCTGATCAATTTTTTAGAATGATTTTTAGGCAAATTAAGAGCATCTTTTAAGTCCCAACAAGTCCTAAAAACCAGTCCGCAAAACATAGTATTTTTGACATTTTGATTTTAATTTTCCTTTGTCGTATCTTATTCTTGGAATGCGCTCATGTGTAGTGACGCTACAAGGCTTCCATTTTCGCAGCAAAAAGTGGTCTTAATACCCTGGGTACCAGATGTTTTTCTCGCGTGCGGCGGGGATTTTCGGTGTTGGCCGAAGGCCGACACATCTTCGGCCGTAGGCCGAAGCCGCAAGAAAAAACTTTCGCGCGGGTCACTATAAAGACTTACAGAAACTGGCACACAGGGTATGGTCTTAAATGTATCTGAAAATAAACGACTGTCTCAATGGGGTGGTAGCTTTGATGGTTGACGGTTGAATTTTAGAGCCTTTGACAGTTGACAGTTATTAAGTGGAAGTTTAGTCCAAGAGGTTATTAAGTAAATATTTACTTCTGTACTACAATTATTCCACGAGTGTGCGTTGGATACAGCTTTTTTGG